TTGGGATTAAGAAAGGCCTTGAACTTAAGATAAAAAAGTTGTTTCTCCACAAATTAGCTTGTGGTCATACAGGTAGGTTTTTCCGCCCCCATGCTCTCAACCACAACGATTGCTCTCTTTAGCACTGAGGTTTGACTCCGGGATCCTCTCAGCAAAGCGTACAGGCCTCCAAGTGTGAGCTAAAGAGCAGTCTGGGACTTTGAAACGCGCTCAAGATCCCATTTGCCCTCAGTAGGAATTGGGCAGCCAAATTCTTCAAGCCTTTGAATGTTCCTATTTACATCCTCCAACTAAGCAGCAGTGGCGCACTCACCTCCCTGGTGGGTAGGTCAGAAAGAGGGCGGGGAGGTCTAATTTTATAAACAGCGATGCTTACTAATGCTCACTTGTGCTCATTAGTCCAGGTCCAGAGCCATAAGCACTGTTTCCTAAACTGGTTTATATACAGGAATCCAGCTAAAAGACAAAAGTGTTATTAAAATGAAGATAGTAGGGGTTTGAGCCCGCTTATCTGCCTTTACAGTATAATTTATATTGGGACAATGTTACCAGTGTAAATGAACTCAGAGAAAGGACATGACATTTTCAATATTGCTCTAGGTGACTAGATGGCATTAAAAATTACCTTTCCATATGAACCTTGTCCTAACACTTTCAGCAGCTCAAACTGAGAAGGATCTGCTTTTTCAAAACCTTCCTTCACATGATGACTGATATCTATTTCCTTCACGATACCTTCTTCCTGCAAAGGAAACAACAAAAAACAAAATCCCCAAATCAGAGCTGTTATCCTAAGGAAACATGTTGTTTATTAAAATCTCATCTTCTATGATGCTACAGTCATGTATGAAATTTTGAAAATAGAAACAAATGCTTGTCCAAATATTCCACGTGCTTGTTACTGGCTGGGGAGGGTAATTCCAGGACATCCAAGCCTGCTTCTTCTGTTTATTGAGCCTTAAGTTATGACTAGGTAAAGATAGAATATGCAAACTGAAACACAGAAACACACTGCAGAGCTTGGTGTGCCCATCGCAGACCTTGCTAGCAGAGTGCTCAAATCTGTACTACAGAGGCTCCAGCACACTTCCCTCCACATACTTTCTCATTCTCCCTCAAAGCGCCATTTAAATCCATCTTAAAAAGCTCCCCCAGTCTTAAGCAGCAGTTCTTCTTATAAGTAGGCAATGAAGAAAAGGCATTGCTAAAAGTGGCTCTCCCTATTCACCTTGAAGAATAAAAAGTTACTACCAGTAACCTTCTAAATAGAAAACAAATCAATGATTTAGATGTGAAAATGGGGTGGAGGTGGAAGGAAGAATGACACACACTTCTTTGCTTGCAGGAATTAGCTTTAAACGCTTTGGATTTCCCAGGTTCTTTTGTTAAAATATTTCCATTACATGTTCTTCAAAGACACCAGTTGAACTAGGACTTTTATCTTGCAAGCTGCGACAGATGGCATTTGGTTTAGTTGTTTGGTTTACGTTATTATGGCATGTTCTTCTAAAAAGAGAGCGACCGGGTCATGTGAGACCCAGAGGGACTACGTAGAGTTTGCAGCAACCCAGAAAGTCGTTGGGCTGAAAAGAAACGTGGAAGAAAGGACCTGCTCTTCAAGGACACAGTGGCGAGGGAAGATAATATTTACATGGCTTTTTATTTCTGTAGTGTTTTGTACACAGAAATTTGAGCTTTTTTCCTATTTGAACTATCTGTTCTAACTTCTCTACAACTAAAATGTGGATTTTGAGTACAAAACCTTTGTTGTTTCATCTCCCAGGACTGAGGGAATTGCTTACTTAGGAATAGGTTTGAATATTTTTGCACCCAACAGAAATAATTTGAGTCTCATAAACATTATTTTTAAATGGAATTTTGCTGCAATTGTCCTTTTTCCCCAAGAAAACATCTTCATAAAATCTGAAAGTATAATATTTGTTTCCCATTCTTAAAAATTAACGTGAGGAAAATAGAAATAACATCCTAAAATGAAAATGCATTCACAGAAACATTTGGCCAAACCACATTCATCTACTAAACAAGAATAAATTTGATTCCCTTCTCCTCCAGAAAAATTGCTAGCACTTTCTACCAGCTGTAATTCATCTGATGCATGGCTAGCATTACCCGGATTGCTCTCTATACTGTAGCTCCATCCCTCCACTTTCCTACCCTGCCTCTTTACACTCACATGCTTTGGAACAGAGACTATATCCTCCTCTTGGTTTGGAAAGCTTTCTCTACTTTGTGCATGCTACCAGAATCATGGAAAATAATCATCATCTGACAGTAACTCATTTTTCTGATCCTAATTCCTCTAGTTTAAGGTTTGCCTGAAAGGAAATGCTTGAAACCAATGACCAGTTTTCACAGAGAATTAAGGGTTTTCTAAGCACTTAACTGCCAGGATCTCTCCTCTTGTTTTTCTGGCTTTAATTGCTGTGGGAGACAGAATATCTTTCTGATACTAAAAACATTCATTTTTTCAATTTTTTCTATGTGACAATAACAACAGTAAACTGATACAAATTCGATACACTGCATTAGCTGTTTCCCAAGGAAACCAGGAATAACCTACATGTTGTTATCAAAGGCTCCACCGAGTTCTGAAGTAAGGAGCTTTCATACTGAGGGACGTGCATCTTTACGTAAACTGCCTGCAGCTGAGAGACTTGCACGCTGTTAAGAACATTGTTTTTAGCTTAGCCCACCCTGCCCCACTGCAGCTTAGGTGAAGTATCTGGACTGCAGGGCTCACCACCCATCTTGTTCAGCAGTTACTCACTAAGGCTAAAAATGACTCCCCGTGGAGTCGGGCTCCTGCCCTGAATCACCCCTTACTCTCTCCACCAGACCTCGAATGCTTGGCAGTTTGCTCTCCACTGCGCACAGGCGGAGTTTGGGAGGATTGGCTACTGCAAGCCAGCCTCTGTGTGCAGATGCCCCCCTGGCAACTATCATATGATGAAAAAACTGCACGACGTTTTCTCAAGTCCGCGCAGCTTGAGGGCACCCAGTCACCGTTTCATGATTTTGCCCCTCTCTGTTTTGCGCAGAAGCACAGCACAGCAAGGACCATCCACTGGAACCAGGTGGAACAGGAGGCAGATTGAAATTTTGCAACATATTCGGGAGACAAACTCTGCAAAAAAGAAACTAACCCCAATTTTATGTACAGCAGGTATCTTCCTCAGATTTACTTCTCCTTTGAGCTGATACCTCGATCTCAAAAACTGTGGATGAGATCTACCACCTTAAGGGAACAGCTAAACCCTTTTTAACTCAGTTGGACTGTATTTCAGCCTGAACCACGGAGTCATTTCAGCTACGTTTGCAAGTTTAAACGGTGAGTGAGTTTCAATTTATCCATTCGTATTAGTCATGAAAGTCACAGGCCTACAACCCTAAGCATATTTCCTGTTGTATTATTAAATTTAATATAACCTCTTTAGGTTCATAAAATGTATTCAGTTACAGGAATATATTGGAAGTATTAAAGTGGTGATAAATTCAGCTTGCTGGAAGAATGCTTAAAAAATGCTAACATTCCCAGAAAATAGCATAATTAATTCATAACTTGCAATAAAATCAACGCTTTAATTACATGCATCTTTAATTAAAATCTCAGAAAAAGATTATTTAAAAAGAATGAGACCAAATACAAGGCCTAGTAGTGTTTACCAGAGAAGCACAGATTTTAAAGATGGAAAAAACCCATTAGATTGTGACTTCGTAGAAATATAAAAACGTTGATTAGAAGGGGCTTCTGGGGGTCATCTAGTCCAACAGTCCTGCCCAAAATATCATCAACACTTGATCAGGCCAGCTGGTTTTTGTCCACTGTGGTTCTCAGTGTCTCAAACAATGAGGCTTGAGCCACTTCCTCCAAAAGATTATTCTCTTTCGATTTGCCTAGCTCAGAAATGCCCACTGTCATGTCGAGCTGCCTGAGCCACGGGTCCTTAGGAGGAAGCAGGATGTTTTTCTAGGAAGGTAGGATTTCCTGTGGTCTCCTCACTAGAAAGGGGCAGCAAAGCAGCATTGAAGAAAAGCATGCCAGACAGCTCTTTTTCACCGATTGTCACTACAGTGGTGTTACTTGTGAGCTGTCCAAGAGGGAGATAGTATTTTAGCTGGTATGACAAATCCACTTCCCACTGGAGCAAAAAGCCAAACTGTCAGAACTTGAGACTGAAGATGGACACAGCCTCGTAAAGGAAATATACGCTGATGTGTTTGCACCCATGCATCCATATCCCTTGCATGTATTTCTATATTCTTATTACTTATTTTGTTGCATGAGTTCTGGAATGACTTCCGTTTTTTTGCTTTACCTTACTCAAAAAAAACCCCAAAATGCAACAGTTTTACAGTTCCTTTTTAATATTCTTTCTTACTTGGGATTTTCCCCTATCATTTATGTCTTCTGAAGTCTCCCTGTATTAAACTAATATGAAATGTGGCATAATTTTTCTCAGGTGCTGATGATCGTAGTGAAACGCCAACTATCAGAGCACAAGCATCGTGGGCAGATCTTCCAACTATTTTTGCTCTGAGTTGCATCTCAGGGACTTCTCTAACATGGATTTTTTCCACTGGACCAGCAAGTGCAGCATATCTGCATTAGGAATTTGCATAACAACAATAAAACTGAGGCAAGCGATTCACAATAGAGATGAAGCCTGCACACTGAAGAAGCTGTTCTGATGGAGACGATTTCACTCTGGAAAAAAACACAAGCCAGCTTCCAAAATGGTTTTGATCAGTGAAGTTGGTGGAGTCAAAAATGAATGTTCCACGGTTTGGTCTTGCAACAGCTGTGCACAGCAGCCCAGGCTCTTGCTCCCTGCTGACTTGTCCCGACACTGCATTAGCAAGAATGCTTGACTTGATGAAGCTTAATCTTTTGTAAACTTCTCTAAATATTTATGTTTGCACAGAAAGCATCATCCTGTGACAAAAGTGAGATGGATGTTCTTGGCGGCTTGAAGAAAGCACATAGTCGAGCAGCACAGACTAGGGGAGGGAGGGCAATGAACTAGAATACATGATGAAAGAGGAATGGAGAGTGCTTCTCTGTGCTAATACAAGAAAGACCTCTTCAGGGCCTGATTCTAGATTGCATTACTCACTTAAAGGCTTCCCCCCCCAAGCCCCCTAAGTTAGCAGAAGTTTTGGACACACAAGTAACCCAGTATATTTGAATGGAAAGGCCATTTTGATCTCCTTTCCTTTGGGACATAGGAGAACAGAGCCTCTGTTCTTACCCCGTGACTGTGGATGGCACAGACACATCTGTTTTGGTGTTTCCCGGAGGCAGCTGCTCCCTGTAGCACTGATCTCAGCTCACTTCCAAGATTTCCTCATGCAGATCTTGGAGAAAGAGATGCACTAATGCTCGGTGGCTGCCAGAGAGCAACCACAGAAAACTCTTCCACCTGCAGCAATACTTCCCGGCTCACTGTCATGTGTCTGAGTAGGATTGGGAAGCATAGGGGTATAGGCCTAGGAATGAGGTACAAAAAGTGCCCCCTGCAAATGGGCGGGTCTTCCTGGAGAGTAGCTCTTTTCTCTTCAGCTCCACAGCCTCTTAAGCAAACATTATGGAAAGAATAATTCCTAGAAAACGGAGAGGTTTAACTCCTTTTGGAGCCTTGTCTGGCTCTTCCCCAACAGGTTTCTGAAGGAGCAGAGCTAAGGTCATCCTCAAATCCAGAGACAACCTTAATTATGCCCAAT